GCCTTGAGTATTCATGACACGATGCTGGTGCATCCGACCATCAGAAGTCTTCTGCTTCTTGCAGAGGAATGGTTCGGGAAGAAAAGCCCGGTCGATTCCCTATACAAACTTGAAGCAGTCCAACAACAGGCCAAAACTCTTCCCCACATCGAGTGGGTGCTCAAATGTGTCTTCGACGCAGTGGTCAACAAAGTCTTGAAAGTCGGCGAGGTCTCTGTGTCCACTCTCACTGGTCGCAAGTCTGCCACTGGGAAAGGGCCCCTTTGCCAAATTCATTTTATGCTGTTTAGTTTGAGGATCCTTGGCAGAGAGTCATTTAAACACATCCTGAAAGCTGCTAAAGACCTTCAAAACAAACATGACCAAACATGGCTGGGAGCCCTCAGTGCTCCTGCACAGGAGCTAGTGAACGAACTTACTTTTGAGGCTTTGAGGTGAATCATTGACAGTCGACTTTGCATCTTACCCATTTGATTAGTCAATCAAGTCATAGTCAAAGTCCGCACCGCCCATCAGTCACTATCACCGTACCGTCAGGTGGAACAGAAACCAACCCTTTCCAGGAGGCTTTCCAGTTTGTGTCCAAGTTTTGCTTCAATGGCGACTACGACTCTGCCATCCGCAACGCCATGCGCTATGGTCAGAAGGTGGACGACGTTCTCAAACATGCGGACGTGGAAGCTGAGTGGCGGAAGGTCATCAGTGGCGGCGGTGACAAGGAGGAAAAGAAAGAAGGTGATGGTCCAGAGCTTACAGACCAGGACAAGCTTGAGGCAAGTGACTTGACAGCTGACTTGCAAGGTTTTGTGGTTATAGCTGTTTGCGCTTCATGCGACACACATACCAAGAACAATGAGACTGTCAAAAGAATTACTTTTTCAAAGTTTCAACCTCAGCAACCCATTGAGGCGAGTATGCGATGATCTTGAGGATGCAGCCTCCTGGCATGGAGGAGAAGATCCAAAAGATGCAGACCTCGGAGCAAGCCATCCTGAAAGATGCCCAGAAGGACCTATTACGCCAGGGTTAATAAGTTAAATAATATATTTATAATCAAAGTCAGGTCTTCTTTAAAACGCAAGAACTTAAATGAACTCTAAAAGTAGACTTAAACTAAACGGCGCGGTTTAACAGTAACTTAAAATCAATTTACTAATTAATGAGTATTAAAACACATATTTCGTAGAAGTTTTGATTTTAATTAACCGCTTGCGCTTTGCTCAAGGGAGATTGCCTTATGAACTACCTTTGGATTTATGACATCAAGCTCCCTGCACGAGATGGAGCCACGTATCCATTGAGGATCCCAGTTTAGTTGCAGAGCAGATCCCTGGCGGTGTGCTTGAGCAAGGCCAGTGTCCGAACCACTGCAGGTGCCAAGACGAGGCTATGGCAATCCTAGGTGGGATGATTTGCTTCAGCTTTGCTACGGGCAAGTGCAGGTCAGGAAAAGCAGCAGGCGCCAGGCTCACAAGACTTGCAAACACCAAACTCATGAGCAACAGTAATGGCATCTGACTCAGGCACAGCTACTCCTCAAAGCAATGTCCAATCAAACCTCTGCAAATTACTTCATATAAATTTAAGGTTATTATTAAAGTTAACTTCAATAATTATTACACTCTAGTTTTTAAAACTACCGTTGTTATAGCAATCTTCGTCGTCTCAAGTCACCACTTAATTAAACTTAAAACTTTCGGTTGCTACGTGACCTTTTGCTACTTGTTGAGTTTGTCTATGAACCCATGCGTCTATGAATGAAATGACAGGATGCAATGGACTTGATTCAGCGGTCGCTGGTCACAGTGGATGGGAATGACACCCTGCCCTCTCTATCACAAGAGCTGATGAAGTGCGCTTTCTTGAAGCTTCGGGGTGACGACGAGCGATCAACGCTCCACATCTACAACGTGGACGCATCCGGCGAGAATGCAAATGGAAGGAGGCCAGGACATGATCAAAGTCATATTTCAGACAACTTTCAATGCTCGCTGTGCCAAAGCTTTCCGCAGCTACTCGTTTATAAAGTATTCGAAGTTCCTTGACTAGCTTGCTTTGAACGTGGTGGTTCCACAGCTGAACCCTGTCAGCTCGGTGCCGTTCAGAAAGGATCACCTGGAGAACTGCTTGCAATCCGTTCTGAGCACACGATCGGACAAGCCAATCGACTTTACAGCTGACAGTGTCCAGCTTCCAGACTTGGACGATAGCGATGTGCAGCTTGCAGGTAATTATAACCATGATTTCTTTTGCCCAACATTTTTCCACATAATCATAGAAAGTAAAGCAATGATTCCTGAAGTAAATGTTGAAACTTTAGACTGACTGAATAAAGCTGTGACATTGTCATCGCTGTGGGGAAGTCTTTGACATCGTCGTTATTAACTGCTCCGCTTCATCGAGCAAGGTTCCTCTTTCTGGATTCTGGTCGGGATGGCCTATGGTCCAACTTTCAAAACTCCTTCAAGTGCAAGGTGATTGCCAAGAAGTTCCACGTTTGCTACACTCAGGACTCTTGCAAAAAGTGGCGTGATGCCCGGTGCCCTTCCGGCACATCAGCGGGGAGAGGCATCATGAACCTGAGCGCCATTGAAGCATGCTTGGTTGCCGGAGGTCGACATCTTCCGACGATTGTCGGGACTCGGCAGAACAAGCTGCACCCTGGGACGACTGAGAGCAACACCCTTGTCAGCGTTGCCAAGGTTGATGTCCAGCAGCTGACTAAGGTGGCCACCTCCCTCAAGGTCAGCATGTTGGGCGCTGCGCAGGTGAAGGATCCATCGCGGCCACGAGCAGGAACGCGTGATGATGGCCACGAGTCTGAACCCCTGTCTTGGTCACCGGTGGCTGGGGACTTTATGGCTGAGCTGTTGCACCGGTTCCGCCCTCGTATGGTGACTTTGCTCTGTGCATCAGACCCAGCTGAGTTGCTATCGATGTTTGAGACGAAGACACCAGTGGTTGCATTTTGCTGTCCGGCTGCATCAAGGTTTTGTTCATTCATGCCATGTCATGATACACTGTTACACCCACTCAGTCGAAATTTTGAAAGCTCATTTTGGAATGTCAGGCTACTCTGATGAACATGCCCAGTGGTACAAGAAGACAGCGAGCTCTATCGTCATCAAGGCCTTTGTTGATCCCCAATCCAAGCTCTATCGTCCAGATCTTGCAAAGATCCTTCAAGCAGATGATGATGAGGCCCAGCCTTCAGGAGTGAAGGAAGAGGACACGGGCCGAGGCTCTGGTGGTGGTTCTTCCCGTGGCCGTGGTCGGGGACGTGGGCGGCGAGGACGCCCAGGTGGCAAGTCAAAGGCCAAAGCAAAGAATAAGATTCAGAAGCTGAATGGCGACCAAGAAGACGATGAAGAAGAGGAATCCGTGGCAAGTGGAGAGATGAGTGAAGAGGCGAACTCTGAGTGAGCCAGTCAGTGTCCTGATCCTGAATCATGGACAAATTTCTCAACGCTGACAGGGTGTCATTGGCAGCGACAAGCTCACTGTCCCCTAGCTAGTCTTGAACTTAACTGTGAAATGTGAAACATATGATGTGGCTGTCATGCTTTTGGAGTTTTGACTGAAGTCGTCGATGCCAGTGCGGAACTCAGCGATTCACTTCTGCGCGTCAAACGTCTGACGCCAGGCGCACATAAGAAAACTTGCGCGGCAGAGTGCAGTGTGCTAATTATTACTGTCATGAGTCACAGTCGTCGCTAATTTTTTATACTGATGCTCCATTATTATTAAGTAATTAAAAGGTCAATATGCCCAAAACGGGATGAATCAGAGACAATTAACGGCATAAGATGATGCAGCTTATTGGCAGTTGCACCTCGGCTTGCTTGCTTGCTTGAAGTTCTCGCTTCAAGGGATTTGGGGCCAGAGACTGTTCACTTCAAGTCGTGCTACAGCAGCCTGCGCCAAGCTATGGGGAAAAATGCTTGTGTGAAGATGATGCTGCTTACGCCAACGACGATGGTAAATGAACAGCACCATTGAGACTTTGACTTACTTAGTGTAGTGCTCTTCTTTTGTTAGTTTTGCTGGTTTTTTCGCGTCTAGTTGAACTTTTTTCAGATGCTTGCTTCAAGTCAGGTACTTGCCATGTGAAGAAGACGATGAAAGTGAGAGGGCGGATCTTTGTCAATAGTGCTCCACCAAAGAAAGTGAAGCGACATAGATGGGTTGTGTGGTCGCCATAGGCGCGATCGACTTTGACTGAAGAGCTCTGATGAAAAGAGCAAAGGGCTGAGACTTTGACTTCGTCAACTTAAAGAATTAAAGATTCTAATGTTAAGCCTGGCCTTTGTCAAGAATTGCTTTGTTTTGCGCCCCTCTCTTCCCGCTCACGTTGAGTCACTGAAGTTTGCTTGAATCCTGAGTTTGGCCCCCTAGTCCCTCCTCTTAGGGTGGATCAGCTTAGTTCAATGATCCTGCTGAACGCCACCGGCATAAGTGGTGAGTGGCTTGGACAACTGACTCTGACATAAACCATAATTAATTAAGCTGTTCAGTCTTAGTCTTTTAATTAAACTGATCGAGTCTCAGTCTCAGCCTTGGCTTTGTTCAAGTTTTCAATCTCAGGATTATTATTATGGTAATAATAGTACTACAATAAGGCGAATTCAATGCTGGTAGCGAGCTACAGAATGATAATTCATTTCGCTGTTCTCCTAGACTTAACAGAAAACTCTGGAGCCTAAACAGCCTGCCCTTAAAGTACAGCCAGCATACTACTAGTAGCAAGGACGCTACGAACGTAACAAAGGGCATCGC